GGGGGATGTTGGGTCTGATGGCACTTGGTCCAGTCTGGCGGATGCTGGGTCTGGTGGCACTTGGTCCAGTCTGGGGATGTTGGGTCTGGTTACATTACCAGGTCTAGACTGGGAGACATTGAGTCTGGTGGCGTTACTGGGTCTAGTCTGCTGTCATTCCCCTGGGGATGGACAGCAGGCTGAGGGTCAGAGGGGCTTACCTGAAGTGTCCATCACGATGCCACCTGCTTCTCTGATGATGACGGTGGCGGCAGCCAGGTCCCAGCAGTGCAGGCCAAACTGGTAATAAGCATCCGCAGCCCCCGAGGCCAGGTGGCAGAGTGCCAAGGTGGAGCTCCCGATAACTCGGACCCTAGAGGAGAGGGAAGAGGGCAAAGATTCCTGTGAGTGGTGCTGTGCACAAGTCAGATTTCTCCTAAATAGCTGACATCATCCAAAGTCAACCCTTTGCTGGGCATTCCCAGTCATCAAAAATGAGCCACAGGGCTTTTCTAATACACTCTCTAGATTCAAGATCTGTGGTGCAGAGCAATGCCATTCGAGAGAACTTTCTGTGAGGATGGAAAAGTTCTGCAAATGTGGAAGCTACTAGCCACCTGTGGCTGCTGAACACTTGAAATGTGGCTAGTGCAACTGAAGAACTCATCTTAACTCTACTGAATTTTAACTTAAATGTAAATCACCTCGTGTGTCTGACAGGTACAGCACAGACCTAGGGAGGGTGGGAGACGGGAGAAGATTCATTTGGACTTGTTAGGATTCATTTTTCCTAAACATTTGCCGGAGTGATATCATTTATGAAGGGCTCTAAGCCCACACAGGATTCACTGGTTGGGTGGCTTGAGATCAGTCACTTGGCTTCTGGAAGCACTGCTCCAAAAGGAACACAGGTCCCCTGTTGGTTTTCTAACAGGCACGAGGGAGCACACCAGCAGAGGAAGCATCATGTGGCTCTCCCGGGCTCTGCATGGGGCGCATGTGGGCCACCTCCCATCACTCGGGATCTTTTCCTCTCTCCCTGGGGAGCTGTGAGCAAGACTGTGTGTTTGGCACTTTCCCCTTTGGCTCCAGGATGTTCTGGGAACTGAAAAGTCATACCCATGAGCTTTGGCGTGGAGTAACCTCTCCATGTTGCTCAGGAACAATTTCAGAGTGGCAGGGTCACGTTTGGGGCCAATTTCCGTTAGAACCAAGGCCTTGGAGATATCTGCAGTAGAAAGAATCCCCATGATCAGAAAAATCAAGTCTTGGTTCTAACTGAATACTCAGCGTTCCCTCTGAAGCAAACCTCAAACATCAGCCTCTCCTTCCCTTTCAGAACAAGTACCATCTGTTGAGTGGTTTACGCCATGAAGTTTTTCTGATAGCTGTGCAGCATTGTAAAGACAGCGAAGGGAGGTCAACAAATCCCACACTTGGCTATTTCCTCATCACTCCTTTAAGGCTGCTTCCTGTTTCAGATTTCAGAGGGAACAGACTTTCAGATCTCTCTTTTCAGGGACAGTTAGCATGAAAAACCTGCAAGAGTCAGGTGGCTCATGAAAATCACCATCATTCAGCCATAAATAAAAACAAAATGATGACAAAAAAAGCTTCATCAAATAAATCTGTCTTTAAAAACCTTTCTCTAACTGCTATGATCACGGAGATGGAAATAGCATCCCTGTAGAGAAAGCAGGATGTCTTTGGAAAGGGAATTCTCAGGAGTAACCCCACTGGGCATAAGGAAGGCTGACGCAGGGGCTGTATGGTCACCCCAGTGTGGAGTGGTGAGGAGCTCAGGCCAACCACACGGCTCCTGTGACGGGTAGGAAGCTGGCCTGTGGGTGCCAAGGGACGTGCCTGGGCTCCCTTCCTATGCCTGACTCATGGGTAGGTTATCACAAGCGGTTTGTCTCTGCTTTGCTATACGCCCAAATACAACCAAATTCAGTCTCACGCCTGGTCAGGCTTCGGGCTGAGCACAATCAGCCATAACAGGTGTATTCGTTCAGATAACAGAACAAAGTCCCTCCATGAACTGGAGGAAAAACACTCTCCACAAGTTATGTCACTCAATGGGCCCAATCCTATGTCAACACCTACAGAGTCTCTCACTGAGGGACCAGATGATGGCGAGAAGGCCATCTCCTCTCAGACAGACTCTATGCCCATTTCCCCTTTTCTTAAATCGGAGGCTCTCATTTTCTACTTTAAACACTTTCTGAAAATCGCTTGGCTCCACACCAAAGCTAGCTGCCTTGGAGAGGTCTTAATCACTCCCTGCCAGGCACACCCAGCACCAAGGCTGAGCCAATGACGTGCCTCCCCCATGCCCAGTGTGCACAAGGGGCTCTGCCCACAACAAGGGGCCATGGGGCCGGGCAGCTCCAGGATCCCCGTGGACAGGTCCTAATTCCCTCCCTGGGCTCCTAACTGAGATGGCGTTTTCTCAGGGGCAGGAAAGAAGACCTCTTTTGGAGAAAACGATATCAACAGAACCAGGCACACAGCAGGTGCTCAATAGTCACGGAAGCAATGAGCACTTTTCCTCGAACACCAGCATTAGGGCAACCTTGGTAAGAGTCTTCTTGTTTGAGCTGATTTGTTAAATCAGTAGCATTTTTTAATTTAAGGCAGGAATACTTGAGTTAGGTAGAATTTGGTTGGCTAGTGTAAGAATCTAATAACTATGTATAATGGCACTATTTTGGGGGGGGGGATGAATTCTTGAATGATAAATATTTCTGTTAAAAACACTCTTGAAAGATAACATTGCAATTTGGATGAGCTGTCCTAGACGAGGCCTCGGGGGAAAACAGAAGCGAAGGAGCAGGGTATGTGGCCCGATCTTGCCCTAATTTCCTTATCTAACTTCAAATCTTACACACCCACACACAGACACTGTATTCTTATTTTTTATTTTTAGTTTTTGAGAGAAAGAGAGAGAGGCAGGGTGGGGAAAGAGTACCAGCAGCAGAGCGAGAGAGAGAATCTTAAGCAGGCTCCACACCCCACGGAGCCCAACATGGGGCTGGATCCCATGACCCTGAGATCATGACCTGAGCCGAAATCAAGAGTCAGATGCTCAACTGACTGAGCCACCCAGGAACTCCACATACTGTATTTTTAAACATAGTTCATTCTGTTCCTTGCTCTTTTCATAAAACAATATATCACGTACATCTTTCTCCATCATTCTGTAATTGTAAGGACTACATGTTATTCCCATAGACGAACTGCTATTGGCTCAACCATCCCCTACAGATAAACATTCTCAATTCCTGTTATTATAAACAATGCTACCTCTTTTTCTCTATAGGTTTGTGCACCAATGTTGACAGTGTTTTCAGGATAGAAAGACAGAAGTGGGATTTTTGGGGGCACCTGGGTGGCCTAGTTGGTTGAGTGTCTACCTCTTGATTTTGGCTCAGGTCATGATCCTGGGGTCATGGGATCGAGCCCTGCATCAGGCTCGTGCAGAGTGTGGAGCCTGCTTAAGATGTTCGTTTGTTCGTTCGTTCGTTCATTCATTCATTCATTCATTCATTCATTCATTCATATTCTCTCTCTCTCTCTGCCCCACTTTCCCGCTCATGCTCCCCCCGCCACAAAAAGTGGGATTTCTGAATCAAAGAGTATGCATATTTTAGATTAAAAAATTTTTTTTTCAAACTGCCCCCCACAAAAGCTCTATCAGTAGTACCATCATCCCCTCTGCACTAAGATAAGATCCTGTACTATTTTCTAGACCCTAACAGAAATCTCTTACTCCATGGTATATGCTTTAAGAGTGATTTTTCTCAGAGAGCTAAGATCAAGAGAATAATATCCCTACATTCAGAGCATTTCCTGGTTCTAGGATCTCAGTCACACTGGGAGACACTGAATTTCCTTCAGGAACTAGAAAGCCACACAATTTCACTGGGGAAATAAGTACTACTTTTAATCAGGTTCATAGGATGTGGCTACTTGGATGTTATCCAGACTTACTGTGGTGATCATTTTGCAATATATACAAATGTTGAATCATGACGTTGTACACCGAAACTAATATAATACTATATGGTGGTTATACCTCATTAAAAAAATATTATACCACATAAAAAATAATATGACTACTTGTTCAGGCCAAGGCCTAGGGGCTGGCTGCAGGGTGAGTGGAAAAGTGCCCAGAGTACCAGCCCAGACAAGCAGATACCCCACATGCAGGGCTGGTGCAGGAAGCGCAGAGGGTTTCAGACTAAGTGCCACAAGGCTATTTCACAAAGGGAAACTAAGCAAGGTGTGGAAACAGTAGCTCACATTCACCAACCTCTGAATCTCTCCAGACAGGCCTGTGCTAAACACTTTCCATTTATGCCTCTGTTTCTCTATTACATTTATGACATTTACATTTCTATTCCTCTATGACATTCACTGTCTCACTGCTGCCCTTGTTTCACAGATGGAGAAACCAAGCCTAAGGAAGTGACCAGTACGTAGTCATGTGGCCCTTAGGTGGTGAGGCCCAGACTTAAACTCAAGCTTGTCCAGTGATTATGTGAAAGACAGCATTTATTCCCACAGTTTTTAAGTCTTTAAAGAGATCTCTCTGCACCCAGTTGTTTCCTCTTCTTCTAGCTGCAATGTATCTATTGCTTTCTCTCTCACTAAAACTTTTCCCAAATGAAATGAACAAGGAAAAAGGAAGCCTGAGTGCTGCCATCTACAGGCAAAATGCTTTCTATGGTTTAACACAGATAAAACCATCCCTTCTATTTAACATCACCTTATATTATGGTTATTTCAAACCCATAATCACTATGGTTTTTGCATTTTATTATCCATTTTGCATATTATTATGCCATAGTATTTTATCTCAATCAAATACTAATGCATATATTTTATAATTTAAAATATTTTGTGACTTCATGGGTACGTGTGTGGGGGGGGAAAGGGGAGTTATTGCTTAATGGGTGCAGAGTCTAATTTGGAAAGATAAAAATTTGGAAACAGATGGTGGTGATGGTGGGAAAACATTGTAAATGTAATTAATGCCATTGAATTACACACTTTAAAATGACAAACTTCATGTTCTATCTATTTTACCATGATAAAAAAAAAATCCAACAGATTTTGAAGTAGGGCATCTCTGTATACTTTTTTAACGAACAGATTTTAGGGTGAAAACAATTGTCCACTAATAGACTTGCAACAGTTTAAAAACTATTGTTCTGATTGAGCATGGTTAAAGTACCCCAAGTATCATAGAGTATTGTTGTCTTCAGAGAAATTTTACAACTTAAGAGAAGCAAGCCATCTGTATACACTGAAATACATACTCACAGAGAAAGAGGTGAGTAGGCTTTAAGTCTGGGAAATATCCCCCATGAACACAAGCTGCTTTTGCTGAACGTAGAGCCCCCAACTACTGCCCACCCCACCCCCACCCCATGACAACACTTACGACAGCAGGTATTTTTACACACATGTCCTAATTCTTTCAGACTTGTTATAGACCATTAAGAGCTACTCATACGAAAATAAAGTTTAATTTTATTTAACTTAAAAACATTAAGTAGTAGACAGACGGGACGTTGGTGATTTGGTGGGGGCTGGGCAGAGGCGGAGGTGTGGGGAAAGGGGGCTTGATGGGCACAGGGTTGGAACTTGAAGCCAAGCAAACTCGGAGAGAAGAAAGCAAAACTGTAGACATCGTCTACAAAAAACTATATCCGCAAGGTGCATGCAAACCCCAGAATACAAATGGGTGGGGCAAGCCTCCAACAGCTACGAGGCCGGGTGGCATCAGGAGGAAGAAGGAAGCATGGAGCATCTGCTGGACCCCAGCAGCCACTCCCTGGAAGTCAGCGCGGGCCCAGGTGAGAGAAGTGGGCGCTGAGAAGGGCCGCGCACACACCAGTTCAGGAGCCCCTGGTGTGTGATAAGGGCTGAAGGGAGAGAACCACCAGCCCTATGATCTCTCGTAACTGACTTACCAAGACCTCTTAAAGGAAGGATCCAGCACTGGGAGTAAACTCCAAATTCACTAGACAGGAGTAACAGGAGTAAAGAAAAGAGAAGATCCCGGGAACAGTTAAGTAGAATAAAGCCAAAAAAACCCACAAAAAAAACAAACAAAAAAACAAAATCTAAGGTTAAAGCCAAGTTTTTGAACACTTCACAAAAACAACACAAAAGGGAACTCTAGAGCCACAAACTACCAAAAAGGTCCTGAACTCGCAC